CCCTCAAACCAGATTGTGTGGTTTACATTATTTGTCAACCTTAAGTACAACTGGCATGTTTGTATCACTCATGCAAAGCCCCATTGTGCCTCTCTAGAAGGGGGAAGAATCCGCACAGAAATGCATCCAAGTTCCTGCCCCGGCAGTTTCATGTCCCTGGGAGATCTGCCCCGGAGGCACGCAGCCCAGCCGGCTGGAAGGGAGCCTGGGCTTTCCTCACGATGATGGGTGTTAAGTGCAGGCTCATATAGGTTATATTACAAAGGGCCGATTTAATCAGAGGCAGATTTGCGCTCTCCTCCTGCAGTGCCTGAGCTCCACCGAGCCGCGGTGGCTTCGCCGCACCCGCCAGAGCGCACACACGCACGGTGCCATGAGGAGAGGGATGGGGGGACTCGGGGGCTGCTCGGTGCTCAGCCTGCCCTCTGCCCCACCGCTCCTGGGCTCCTGCCCTGCCCCGTGTGCCCAGGGTGTGCCCAGGAGCACAGGGAGGGAAGGGACAGGTGAGGGAGGGAAGGATCAGGTGAGGGAGGGAAAGAATAGGTGAAGGAGGGAAGGAACGGGTGAGGGAGGGAAGGAATAGGTCGGGAAGGGAAAAAACAGGTGAGGGAGGGAAGGAATGGGTGAGGGAGGGAAGAGATAGGTGAGGGAGGGAAGGATCAGGTGAGGGAGGGAATGAATGGGTGAGGGAGGGAAAGAACAGGTGAGGGAGGGAAGGAATGGGTGAGGGAGGGAATGAATAGGTGATGGAGGGAAGGAATAGATCGGGAATGGAAAAAACAGGTGAGGGAGGGAAGGAACAGGTCAGGAAAAAGGAGTAGGTTAGGGAGAGAAGGAATAGATGAGGAAAGGCTGCCCCGAGCTGCCCACAGGGATCTGGGTCTGCCTCTGGCAGCTCCCCTCTCCCAGGGGCTGGTTTGGTGACACCCCAGGGCCGCCGGCCGCACTCAGGGACACCTGCAGAGGTGTTCCCCTCTGTCCCGGCTCAGAGCTGCCCAGGCAGCCCTGCGGGGTCCCTGTGGCCCCGCCGAGCCCGGCTGTCCCCGCTGCGCTGGGCTCGGTGCTCGGCGGGCGCGGCTGCGGGGTCAGGCGGGGACAGCACGGCGACACTTTCGCCAGCGCCGCCGGGAGCAGGTTGGCGGGGCGTGCTGTGGTGTTGCGCCTGCCTCTGGGCGAGCAGGCGGGATCTCGTCTGTGATCTCAGTGCTTTATCCCTTCCTTCCCTTGCTCGGTCGCTGCAGCCAGAGAAATCCCCGGATGGCTGTCACAGCTCACAAGCTGCGCTGCCAGCGCCGAGGGTGTTTTCATTCCTGCACCTCCCAGCGAGTCCCCGGTGCCAGAAGAAGCGTCCCGTGCGCTCGCACATCGCTCCCAGCCCCGGCAGCTGCCGCAGGCTCCCAGCCCAGGGCTCTCCCCACCCGGGACACCGGCACGGTGGGGCTGCTCTGCTCTGCAGGATAACAGCTCCCTGCCCTCCTGCTGGATGGTGGCATCACCAACCCTTGGGATCGCTGTCCCGAGTGACCAAAACTCTGCTGTTCCATCTTCCCCAGCCCCTCTAAGCCCCCCTCCCTCCTCCTGCCCCTGCTCTGCGGGTCTCTGGGCCCTGCCTGCAGCGTGTTCCCCACCGTGCCCCCAGAGCAGCCTGGTGGCGTGTGCCCTGCACGTTCTTCTGGCGTCAGCTCCCCAGCTGCATTTCTTCTGCGGCAATTCTGAATTGTAAGAGACACCCGATTTTCTGGAAATTAAGTTGAGACAACAAAAATCTCTTGCTGCTCCCTGGAGCTGCCTCTGTTCCGGCCGTGGACATGTTTGTGCTTTCACTGGGTGGTGGCAGAAACTGCCTCGCTCGAATGGGAATTCCAAGGGACGAGCAGAAGCCGAGCCGGGCTGGGCAGATGCGTGGCAGCAGCGGCTGCTGTCCCCTCTTGTCGCAGGTACCCGGGCAAGCCGCTCTGGGCAGCGCCTGTCCATGAGACACCGCCCAGAAGGGCCGCACAAAAGCTCCCAGCCACGGCATTAAGTAATTGTCACATTTTTCTTCTGTAAGGATTAACGTTCCTGCTAACCTTGCAGACCTTCATTGAGCCATTGTCACCCCCCGAAACGCGGCACAATCGCCGGGGGATTAGGGTGTCTGCGGAGCAGCCTGTGCCCCTATTGTGCGCTCCCGGCGGGCGGAGGAAATCCTGCGACATCAGCCGATGAGTCCCTGCCGGCCAAATTCCCTGCCGGCCGGGCAGGGCAGCCCCCGGGGAGCCCTGCGGTGGCACCGGGGAGCTGTCCCTGCGGCCGGGAACCCGGCCGGGCCGATGGCACCAGGGAGCCGGGCAGCCCCCAGCCTGTCCCCTCCGGGCAGCAGTGACCCAGCTCCTGGGTGCTGAGGAAATCCCGTAAAAATTTAACGGGAAACACAGAGCCATAAAGGGAATTTCCTGGCGTTTTTGTCAGCTGTCGGCAGTGCCCGCTGTGTGCGCTGTGCTCAGGCACCTGGCAGCCGCAGCAGGACTGTGGGCAGGCCAAGCTGCATTAGCAGCTCGTTCCCAAGGCTCTCCCTTTGGAGCAGGAGCAGGCGAGCATGGCAGCAGCACAGCCCGATGTTCTGGGGAGCAGATCCTGCAAAAACTCAGGCTTGCAGACAGGCAGGACAGGCAGAAGCTGTGTTGCAAGGATGCAAGAGGAAAAAAGGAATGCTAAAGCAAACCCAAGATTTATGTACGTGGGTCCCGGGAGGGTCCTACAGAGCTTATAAATGACAATGCATATTGTCGTTCAACCCCCATGCTCAGTAGCAAAGGAAAAGGAGTGGGAAGCGTCTGCAGAGCTGGGGCCATTGCACAACAGCAGAGAATGGAAAACAAACTCATCTGCTTCTCCCCAGCACCAGCACCCCCACTGCCATGGTGCCTTCCCAAGAGACAGAGCCATCCCTTCCAGAGAGCCACGGGAGGATGGGACAGGAGAGTCCCAGGCGTGGTGCCCAGGGAGCAGAGCCTGGCATCCTTCTGTTGTGCCCAGTTTGGACTGCTCAGCCAGAAAAAACCAAGCAGAAAGCCCTCTGCTCCATGCAAATAAGGACTCTTCCACCCAAGACAGAGAGAAGTCTCCATGAGGGATGTCTCTGAGTCCTGCAGGTGTTCATTTCTGGAAAAGAGCTGGCTCCTGGGCAGGCTGGACTGGGGCTGCAGATCTGCACCAAGAGGATCTGTGGTGGTGGCAGATGTGGCATCTGGATGCCTCCGCCCAGCAGGATCTGGATTTGCCAGCCCTTTGGCAGGGCGCTCTGTGTTTAGGAGCCAGGATTGTTACTGCTGTGCAGTGGGATTTCATGGCAGTTTTTCATAAGCTTTGCACGTGTTTGATAGTACAAATAGGAACTGAATCTCCCCACAAGTGACAGCAGCCTGGCTGCCTGGGGCCTGCTGGGACTTGAGAAGAAAGATGTCCATTCATAGTCAGAAACTCTCTGTATTCACTGGGCATGTGGAACAATTTGGCTTCTCTTCTCTGGCATCATGGCAGGGGAAGGGCTTCCCACTCTGCCTTGAGGATTGACAGGTGATTGTGCACAGAAAAAGAGCACTCCTAAAGCCAGAGAGCAACCTGGAGCTCCTCTGCCAGATCCTGCAGCGGGAGCTTTCCCTGGGCACATCTGCTGAAGGAATAAATGGGTTTTGCATTTTGATCTCTTTTGCTTCATCTGGAGTAGCTTTGAGAAACAAGTCCTACAGTCAGGCTGGCTCTCCTTGTCTCATCTCCTGAGGTTGAAATGAGCCCCCATGGACAAGGAAGGATTATTGAGGGCACTCAGAGTCTCCCTGTGCCTCTGTGGGGCTTCTCCTCATTGAACCCTCCTCAGATCACACCTTCTGTTCCATCAGGGTGCCCATTTCCAAAAAGCAGGTGGTGACTGTGGTGACCAGGATCCATCCCAAGACATCTGGGGGGAGGCTGGTCTTCAGAAAACAGCAGCAGATGGGCTTAGTGCCTGTTGAAAATTAGGCTCTGACTGTATAGACTGTCCTTAAAACACAAGCAGCTGCAAAATCCTTGGTCTTCCAAAGGTGGGAGGTGGTGATGCCTCCACCCTGGCTTGTCCTGCGTGGGGCACACGCAGCGGCTGCAGCAAAACCAGGAAATTTCAATGAATTAATTTTTCACCAGCAAAGGTCACGAGGTCCGGGATGGGTGTCGCACCCTGGGAGCAAATTTGGCTGATGCCAGGGCAGCCACCGTCGTGGCAGTCCGAGCTTCCCTGGCTCAGCCTGACCCATGGCTATTGGCTATTCCGGAGATGGTTTCCATGAGGACTTTTCTTTTTTTTTAATTTGGTAAAAATGTTGAACAATTCTGGTTTCGTCCCCATGTGGAGCGGGAAAAATTTTGAAATCTTGAACATTTTTGAGGGCTTAAAAACAATTTCCCACCCAGTTATAGCCACCAGTCTCATCAGGATGTGTTTGAAAAGCCTCCAGCAGGAGCTGAGCAGAGCTGGTCTCAGCTGGATACCACTCTCAACGAGAAATGCCGTGGCAAAGGGTCATGTTTCTTCAGAAAAAAAGTATCTTCAATAGCTCAGGAAGTTATTAGTGTCTGCTAACAATAAGAGCTTTGGATTGATTCAATAGATGCTCATTTTAATTGTAAAATGCCAGTAATGAGAAATGTGCCATCCAATGACTCATTTTTCCCTTGTAAAAATTATTGGACATTTTTATTAGTTTTACAAATGACAGGACCTCGTATTTCTGAGAACACTTTATACAAGCCTTGCACAAGCCCACTCTCATAAAAGCGTGTCTGTGGTGACATCCAGAGCCACAAGAAGGGGAGCGGTAGAAAGGCCCAAAGTGGTGAGGACAGCCCACAAGTGGAACTGGCAGGACCGAACCCCAAGAGGGTGGGAAGGGGTGGATACAGCACCGGAGACATGAGCCCCGGCGCTCCTTCCCCGGCAGAGCCGTTCTGGAGCGGCGCGGGGCGGGCAGGGGGATGGCAGCCAGCCGGCGCCCGCAGCTCTGCCCGGCGCGGAGCCCCGGCTCGGGGCCGCGCCGCTGAGCCTGGGCGGGAGATGCGCGGGGCGCAGGGAGGGCAGGAGCCAGCCCCGGCCGAGCGGAGCTGAGCCAGGTAAGCGCCGTGCCGCGGCAGCGGGAGCGGGGAGCGCCGGGCTGCGCTCGGGGCGCTCGGACACGCGGCCCCGCACCGCCCGTGCCCCGCCAGAAACACATAAAGGGTCAGACGCGGCCAGGGACACCGGGCAGGCACATCCCGGCATCACGTTCCTCCTGCTCTTAGGGCATCCGAGCTGCTTTGGCCAGACTGTGCTCTTTTTTTTAAAAAAAAAATCCAAGCGATTTCTCATGGAGAATTAATTTGCACAGGGAGGGGAAAAAAGTAGTTTTAGAGGATTTGTCATTTCAGCGTTTCGTTTCTCCTGCCTTGCTGACATTATTTGTATTTTTGTTTATGTCTCCTCGTGAGAAGTCATCTGTGACTCTGCATAGTGTGCTGTGAGCTGGCATGATATGACATAATGCAAGAGCTGAGATAGCCCAACGCTTCTATTTTAGTTTGGAGGATATTTTAAACTTTATGTTATCCAGGAAATTTCTGAAATATTTGTCTTCATTCCAAGCCAGAATGAAAACAATTTTTGAAATGTGTCGGAAGTTCCCGTGAAACAAGTAGTGAGAGCTTCCAGCTCTGCCACCGTGCGTGGCAGGGCAGCTGCAGGGGAGGCCCCAGCCTTTCGCAGGAGAGTGGCACTGGAGAGCAGGGAATGGCTTTCTGTGTCCCAGGAGGGATCTCTGGTGGCTTTACAAACCCTCTCTGGTCTGTGGGGCTCCAGCCTGGACAGGGAGAGGCTCAGCGGGGCTGCAGGCAGAGCCACCAGCCCAGAGCTGCCAAGGCTGAGCTGCTGTGGGGCAGGCTGGGCTCTGTGGGGCCGCAGGAGGCCGGGCTCCACACGCCTCCGTGTCTGGCTGGAAAGTGCTATCAGGTTCCCAAAGCCTTTGCCTTTGCCTCTGCGCTGAGACACTCAATCCTCAGAGCTTTGTTTTGTGTACTCTGGGAACTGACAATTTGTAAAGACACGCTGCTGGGCTAATCCTCCATCAGCTCCTGGAGCGGGGAGCAGCTGGATCTGGCAGCTCTCTCCCTTCTCCCACTCCAGCCTGCTGGAGCAGCCAGTGCCTGCAAGCAGTAGCTCCCAGGTTTTGACTTAAACGCAAAGCAGAGCAGCAGCTTCGCGGCCGGCAGCCGGGACCACACAGGCACCTTGTCCTCGGCCAGCCAGGCACTGTGGGGTGGCCACGCCGGCTGTGCCAGCCAGCCCTGCGTGCCACGAGGGAACTGGCAGCGATGCCAGCCTCGGTGCTGAACGCACCTGGGCTCCCTGCTGCCCTGGAGATCTCTCGGGGAAGGGAGCTCTCCCCACAGCCTGGTTTGCTGCTGATGGTCATGATGGTGCTCATCAGCTTCATGATGCTGCTGGTGCCTCAGGGAAGGGATAAAACTAAAATTCTACACAAGAATTCTCTCTGCCTGGCCACCATCTCACAAAGAGGCAAAGGGCCAAGGGTGCCTTGCCCATTGCTCCATGCACAGAGCTCGCCCACAGCCCAGCGGGGTCTTCTGTGTTTGGGGGAGCTGGGTGTCCATCAGACAGCCCTGGAAAACGGGATCACCCTGCAGCCCTGGCTGGGAAGGCACCAGTGCCATTGCTCGGCATGGGCAAGGCCTCAGATCTCAGGAAAACTCATTTTTAAGCTACTTGGGGTCTGTCAGAGCAAATGAGTTGCAGTTTCAGCAGCCACTTGCTCCTGGTTTAACCCTGGGAATGCAACTGTGTTACAAATATTTACCTGATGAGGTAAACCATCAATACCCTTGAAACTTACATTAAAAAATACTGGACTAGAGCATCTTGTGGGTTTTGCTTTTTTCCCTGCTGATTTGTTTCACAATATGCCAGAAGCATGGCTTGAGTTAGGGCTTTGGCAGGAGCTTTTATCATGATTGATATAGTGGAGGATAGAAAAGAAATTTGGTTATCAGAGGATGCCAGAACTCAACTTCCTAGCACATACATTCAATAATGCAAAAATTCTCCTTTAAAGGTCTCCTTAGAACAAATCCCAGTCATCACAAAACCCATGGAGATAAATTAAATTACATTTTAATAGTGGAGAATTCATTCCTGGGCCAGGCGCAGCAGTGAAAGTATGTTCTCTCTTAGGCAAAAGTAGCCTCATCTCCCATCAAAATTCTGAATGTTACCATATGAAAAACTTAATTGGAAATGAAACCCCAAAGCTCCCAGGGCAGAGGCACCACGAGAGACTGCCCCACCTCCTGCTCCCCTGCCCCACGGCTGCCCTGGCTGTGTTCTTGCCTGTCCTGCCCTGTTCTGGGATGGTGTGCCTCCCGAAAAAGCCAGGCTTGACCCGTCTCTCCTCGTGCTGTAGAGATTTCAAATGGTCCTGTAGAGGTTTTAAATCCCTGCAGATGCAGGCACGGGTGCCTTTGGTGAGTGCTGGGTGCACTGGGTGCCTGCTGTGGGTCATTGGGGTGGGGATCACGGGCAGTAATGAGGGATGGTGGCTCAGGGGGATGTGGGGTGAGGGGATTCAGGTGCTGCTGGGGGAAAATGGATTTGTAGGAAGTTCTCAGGGTATGACAGAAGGCCCACAGAGTCTGTATCTGTATGCCGGCCTTGAGGTAAGAACAGGGGATTGTCTGACACTGGCTGGGCCAGCCTCACCTCCAGCTCCCACACGATTGCATCCAAAAACTGGAGGGGGCAAAGGCAGAAAGAGACAGGGCAGAGCTGCCATGGCTGTGCTGCCTGTCCCTCCCACCGAGGGAGCCTTTCCCTCCTCATCCTCCCCCTCCTGGCCTCCCTGCCCTGGCTCTGGGAGCCTGAGCCTTGCTCCCTGCCCAGCCTCTCCATCCCAGCCTCATCCTGCAGTGCCAGGCTGGGCCTCTCTCTTCTCCATGTCTGCACAATGACCAAAAGCCCCGGGCAGAATTAGCTCCTTGCTCAGTGCTGCATCCAATTAATTATATAGTTTAAGACACAATATGTAGACATTTCCCATCCACACCAGCAAAGCTCTTGGCTCTGCTGGAAAGTTCTGCATGGCAGAAGGTGGCTGGGCACGGCAGACATGCGCCCTTGGCACGGGCAGGGAAGAGTGCCAAGCTGTAATTAAAGTAATTACCTGTGTTAATATGTTCTGCAAGTGGCTCGGGGTACAGCAGAGAGAGCACATCACTAACTGCTTCTGCTGCCCAGGGCTTCCCTCCACGTGCCTGCTGCTGATCTGGTCAGCTGCTCTCAGTGCAGTGAGGCTCCTGGAGGGGTCCCTGCCCAGGGGACACGCGTCCCCTGCTGCTGAGGACACACGGACAGGCACCTCCCACCCACTGCTGCTGTGTCAGGACAGCCCAGAGCACCAGCACCTATCCTGTGGGTAAGCAGGAACCTCCAGCTCATGGCTGGGGCATTCCCAAACTACCCCAGCACCCCAAAGTCACCCCAGGGTCCCAAAACTGCCGCAGGTCCCTTCTGCTGCAGCCTGCCCTCCGTGGGCACAGCAAGGAGCTCTGTGTCACTGCCAGGGCCAGCCCAGGATCAGGGCTCTGCCCTGGCTGTGGCAGGTGACCCAGGGGACTCCCGAGGGTACCAGCCTGTCCCCACACGGGGATGGGAGCCCACAACAACTCCAGGCCTCCTGCAGGTCCCGCCCGTGGGGTTTTGTCACACATGATGTCCCACATCTGGGACTCACCAGTTGGAGATGGCAGTGCTATTTCCATGTTGAACTGTAACTTTTTTACCCCCAGCCGTTCCAGGGCTTACAACTATTGTGTGGGGTTTTTAATGTTGCAAGAATTTATATTGGGAAAAAAGTGCTTTTTTTTTTTGCTTTTTTTTTTCTCTATGCCTTGGGAAATGTCATCCAGCAGGAATGTTCCCAAGAGCTGATCATGGCTGGGAGAAGGATGGGCTTGAGCAGGGGCTGCATGCCCAGCTCCCATGCCTGTCCCAGTCTCCCAGGACTGGCTCCCAGGGCTGTGGCTCCCTTGGGTGCCCCATCCGTGCTCTCCAAACTCTGCCCGTGGCCCTCAGGGACATCTGCAGCAGCAGCAGAGGCAGGAGGGAGGGAGCAGATGCCTGGAGAGGGACAGGCTGCTCACAAAGCCACTCCTGCTGCAGAGGCTCTGGGTTTCATGTCCTCCTGGCTGTGCCAGTGGCTCTTCCACTTCCAGCTCTGGATGGAGTTTACAAGAAATGCTGGAAGCCCCAGCCCTGCGATGTGTCATCATTCAAACTTCTCTTTAATAGTATCCCAAAGGAATTTATTTTTCCCCAACATCAAAGCCCCCTGAGCAATGCTGGGAGAGGCAGGGCTTCCCCCCAGAGCCTGGTGGCTCCTGCCCTGCTCGGGGGGCTGGACCCCCCCTGGCTGTGCCAGGGACAGCGATGGTTTCAGGTGGGGCCAGGGGAGGCAGAGCTGTGACAAGATGAGCATGTACGTTCACTCTGAAAGCACAAGTGAGGGGGGTATGGATTGCCCTGCTGTGAGGGTGCTGAGGCCCCTTCCAGGCTCAGCATCACTTCACAGATCACTTTCAGGAGCAGGCACCGATGGAAAAATAATAATAATGAGAAAGGAATAGCGAGGAGAAGCGAGTCTGCATCTCCCCCTCTTCTGCCAGCATTCAGAGGGCACTGGGGATGCAGGCAGAGCATCTCCTCAGACCTCAGTGCTCGGGGGATCCCCCTGTTCCCCAGTGCTGCTGTCCTCCCCAGCTGCATGAGTTTTGCAGAGGGAATTCAGCAGAAGAACTGCAGCAGCTCCTGCCTCTGCAAACACAGCGTGCTGCTGTCCCTGCCAGCACTCCGGGCTGCTTCGCCTCAAGGAATCTGTGACATCCGTCCTGCTGTGATCTGTAACAATATTGGGATTAAATTAGCTTCCCTGAGCTGCAGAGAGGTCAGTGTGTAAGGCCCCTGGTTAATCCAGCAGGCCAGGGAGAACAGAAGCCTCCCTGCATTGGGAAAGGAAAACAACGGGGTCTGTTTGCAATCCGTGCAGCTAATTCAAACAGCATTCCTCAAA